CACACACACACACACACACACACCCCCCTTCATCCTGTCGCTTCACCACATCTTCCACATTTCCTCACCTTACGCTTTCATCCTCAAGTCAGTCTGCGTTAACCTCATTCTCTCCTCCCCTCCTGCCAACGCTTCATCGAGTCTCTAGAGCTGTCAGTCTCCATCCAACCTCATGTGTCTGCTTTTCTTTTTGTTCTTTTCTCACCCCTGTCTGGGACAGCAACCACAGTGTAAACTCTGTCAGCAATTTTTCTAAGTATTTGTCTGATCTCTGTGAAGACAGGTAGAAAGGTAGACCAGAGGGGATACCAAGCCCTGATTTAGGAGGGGGTATGTTTGTGAGGAGACAATGTACCCAAGTCAGTTTCAGATGCCGTGGATGTGAAGCACGAGGCAGAGAATGAAGTGAGACAAGCAGACATGAGAGAAAAAAAGGTCATCAATAGTAAACGGCAGAGAAGGCTGACGGAGAGAGGGGGAGAGCAGAATCGACAGCAGCATTATCACTCTGCCTCCTTATTCAAACACCCCAAGAAAGAGCTAAGCACCGCCTGCTCTCATTGGCCGAGCCTGCAGCCAATCACGAATCAGGAATGCAAGGTGCCTTTAAGTTATACCCAACCCCAAAATATGAAAGAGAGAGAGAGAGAGAGGGAGATAGACACAGAGAGAAAGAGAGAGAGGGGGAAAGAGAGAGAGAGTCTCTGCTGTGATGCAGAGATTCCTCCAGTGAGGCAAGCCTCCATCTCAGCTGTATTCTCTGGTGTTCCTCCTGCTGGAGAGAACACATATCAGTGGATAAATCACACGCTCTCTTGCAGAGGATTGAGTGCATGTTGTGCTGCAGTCTCCGCTGCTGCTGCTGTACTACTACTCTGCTCCAGCTGGCCGAGCACAAGCTCTGAAGGAGGAGCAGCATCTCATGTAGATGAGGCAGACGGAGCAGGAGAAGAGGCACAGTGTAAAGGGATGCAAAGTGAGGGGGGTGATGTTGGATGTCTTTTCCACATCTGCACTTTTGAATTTTGAGAGGCAGAGAGGTGGGCGCCAGAGGTTTGAGTCACCTCAGTAGCTGAACCAGGAGGAGAAGAGTCGAGCCTGAAGATAATAACGTGGGGAGGAGAAGTTGACAGTGGAAGGATACAGGATGATCTTGGGTAAGACAGCGCTGGATTTGTTTGCTGCAATTGATAAAAAAAAAAAATTCAATGACATTCTTCTGTTAAGGAGATCACTCATGGATGGCACAAACTTTTGGCTGGTTGTGCTGCATTTCTCCAACTTAGATATATCCTAGATCACTTTACTGTGACACAGTCTGCAATTAAGGGTTGTCCTCTTTGGAAAATCTTAATGGTGCATGCGTAAGTGAGGTTTATTTTGGTCTAGTTCTTGACAGTGACGTTCTTGACAACATTTTCACGCTCATTTTTTTGTGTTTTCATGGATCAAATTATGCATATTTAATCCTTCAGTAGGAAATAAAAATATATACATAAGAAATCAGGAAAAGATGGAAGCATCCCACAAATAACATGGCTTAAAAACTACTAACTGAGCAACACACAGACACATGCACTGTAGAGGACAAAAGCACAGAAAATGTCCAAAGATGGAGAGGGATTAGGTCTTTTTTTTTTTGCTGTTGAAACAGCTCAGAATTTTGTCAACCTTAAACTCACTGCATTCAATTATTCAGACCCTAATTAAGTATGCCAACATTCTATGATCATTATATATATATATATATATATTAACCTTTATGAAATATGATCAGATGTGGTCATATTTAATTTCAAGTGCTTTAACCTGACCCCAACCTACACAGTTCTTGAGAGTTGAGTCAATAATATCCGTCATCTCAGTTTAATCCCGTGCTTTATTAAACAAACTTCATTATGAAGCAGAATCAGGGCATCAGACAGTATCTCAAAGTAAATTTCTTCACTATGTTCAAGGTCTATAACACTGAGTTTTCACACAGTACGGCGACTTACTAGTTCCTCCTGAAACAAGTGAGACACATACGGTACCAGTATTGCACATATTCAAAATGCCACTAGTAAAGCTTTAATAGTCTAGAAGCTCTTTTCAAACCTGTTAGTCGGAAAATACAATAAAATAAATAATTCAATTCAATTTTATTTATATAGCGCCAATTCATAATTTACATTATCTCAAGGCACTTTACATTTAAAGGTCAAGACCTTAAAACAATATTAACATAAAGAAACCCAACAGTTCCCACAATGAGCAAGCACAGGCGACTGTAAAGAGGAAAAACTCTCCCTTCCTAATGCAACATAATTAACTTTGACACGACTTGAAAGTGGGTATAGGTTAGAGTTTACAGTGTACAAATATTTATGTGCAAATTTAATTATATTTTGTGAACATAAATTTGAATCAGTTTAATTATCTTGAAGAGTTTAGAAAGGGGCATTTGTTGCAGATTCAGCAGAATAAGATGAGCGTGTACTGGATTTTAATTAACATAGTAAAAGGCAAGCTCTTTTTTTCTGTGTGACAATCAACCCCTTACCTCTGGTTAATTTACAAATTATGATGCTTACTTCTAGTCTTACAGTAAATTTGACTAACCTCAACGACCTTGTTCCATGAACATGTGGGTGCTGACTAAATATTTGACCACTTTATTTTTGTTTGCTTGCTCTCAGCCCTGCTTGATTTGTCCTGTGATCTGAGTGTAAACTTGGGTTTGTGGCATAATCTCTATCATGGTGCAGAAGCTTTAGACACTAAACACACTGACACATGATAACAACTTGGGTTGATGGGGTTTTATTCACTGTATTCGTTTTCCCTTCACTAACATAGGGATGTAGATCCACAGATAGAAATAGTGTCCATGAAACAGTGAAAGTGTTGAGCAAAGGACGGGGGATGAATGCTGAAACTCTGCACTCTTCTCATTTCCTGCCATCCGTGACCAACAAAACTCTTCCACACTACATCTTCAGCCACAGCCACTGCTGTCTAAATGCAGTATTTTAGTCTTTTAACAGAAGGAAAAATTCAAATTCGTCGACACAATCTGTGGTTGAGCATGAAAGATGTGCTAAAGCTGGCTCAGCTCCCTTGATACAGAGCCGTGTGGAACGCAGTTTAGTAACTCTTGTGTGATTTTTATGATGAATATTTCAGACCCAGAGGTTTGAGGTCTTTATTTATTTAAAAATGGGCCAAGGCTTCCTCTAGTCTGACGTAAAGACCTCACTCAGTGCTATAAAAATAAGTTAATGGCTTGCATCACTGTTCACTCAACCAGTACATACTGTATCTCGCACTGTCTCTCTATATATACATATATCTACACAATACAGTCTATGATATATACACAAACACACACGTGTGTGTGTGTGTGTGTGTGTGTGTGTCGCTGCACATAAACACAAAAAATCTCCTCACTCTTACATGAAGAATTACAGATCCATGTTGTTGCTGAAAAGCAACGTGACATTTGAATCGAGGCTTTGCAGTGAGGGATGAAAAATATTGACATTTAAAACGGAGAAATGTGCCTGTCAGTCTGTGTGTTTGACAAACTGACATATCTCATACGTCTGTGAAGCCTGAACCAAATGCTAACAACAAATCCAGGACTGGAACGCAAAGACAATGAAGGTTGAATAACTCTGACGGTCGATAATAAGTATTTACACCTTGTAGCCCTCAAGAGAAAAAGCATGCCATTTGTTTAAATGCCAACATGACTCATCGCCCAAAACTAATGGAAAATGTCATGTGATGTGGTCATGTGACCTGACATCTTTAAGAGAAGACTGGGGTGATTTTTGGGGAAACAAAGCTAATAAATTGAACAAATGGCATATTTTCAATTTAATAATGATTAGGGTTTATTCCTAACCTCAACATGACATCAGACTACACGATATCAGCCTAATAAGCCTGAGCTAGGATAATTGGTGCTATCATACAAGTTGTGAGAGGGGACAAGCCATGACTGGTCAGGGTGCATGTAGGCGACAGTGAATAACATAGTAGTGCTCTTGACCAAGTATAGACTAATTAAGTCATCTGTGGGCAAGGGACAAGATTTTGAGGCCAGAAGCCTCCTAGTTTCGGTTTCTAGTCGAGCCTATCATGTTGAGCAGGCTTTGGTTGCTCACAGGTAAATAGTTGGTCAGGAGAGAAAAAGAGGTAGAACGCGTTGACCGTAAGACATTAGCCATCAGCTTTTTATTTCATTTGCAGATACTCAGAGACTAGTCAAAATGTTGTCTGAACCTAAAAAGAAACGAATCAGACGGTAAACTGTGTATAGCCAATGGAAGATGGAGTCTGGGTCCGGTTATTCGCTATCTACACCGAAGCCCCCAGAGGATAGTTCACCGTCAATCGCCGCTTCAATAGCCGATGTGCCGTAAGATTGAGACTAAGTCAGACTACAACCATACTAGCAGCTTTGTGCTACATTGCAATGTAATGTGTGCTATGAGCTCAATGCTAGTACAAACTAAGTTACCATGTTCGCATGCTAATATTTGCTTATTAGCAATAAACATGAATAGTAGTCATTATGTCCTTCATTTTGCAGCCATTTGGTCAGTAACTAAAGTTTTAATCAAATGAAACTTCTCACCTGACAAGAGGTAGAAACTGTTTATTATAATACATTATGTGGGGGACATAATGAACTAACATCCAATAACCATGGAGGTTAGGGGAGACATCCTGGCTGACTGAGTGAGATGGGGACAACACCCTGGCCTGGGCCATCAAACAGACACAAACAACCTTTTACATCTATGGAAAATTTAAAGTCTCAAATTAACTTAACCCCAGTCTGTGGGAGGAAGCCGCAGTCCCCATAGAAAACCCACGCAGACACAGGAAGAGCATGCAAACTCCCAAAAGACCTTTTTGCTGTGGGGCGAAAGTGCTAACAACTGCACCGCCCGCCGCCCGGGGACATAATTGTTTGGAGGTGGTACTCACCAAAAAAAAATCTGAGGATTTGCTTGTTTAAGATGCATAGTCTAAAAACTGTAAATATCAAAAATATATCACCACCATCCACCTGAGTCAAGCCACAAGCATAGAGAAAATCCTTGTAGAGTTTGATCTTAACCAGCAGTTTTATTTTTTGCCAGTAGGGACGGATCAGCAAACAATCATAATAATGATTTTTATAAGAGTCGTTTACTATGTAATAAGAAAGTCTGCTGATGATCAGGAAATCTCATATACAGTATGCCTGTGGATAGGCTTGTTTTGCTGGACTCGTTAATCATCAGAAAAGTCCATGGCCTTCAAACTTACAGCACAAAACATTTACATTTGTCATGTAGTGGTTTCAAAGACGCCAAAAATGGCCAGAAGAGCCGACACAGTCTGGGCATTCTGCAGTCAGAGTCTCTTTGTTGTTTGCTGTTTACTGTCCTGAAGTTCCTCAGACCACAGTCAAGCCAACCGCTTGACTCTTACCCAGTCTAACCCTTGCGTGTGCCTTCATGACTTCCACACTATATACCACATTCTATCCTTCAGACTCCAAAGCAGCCCAGAAATATAGCCTGTCATTTCCTCTTCTGTGGAAAACAGCAATATGATGTGGTATGGCCTCTTTTTGTTCTATTATAATTTGTTTGTTGAGGATCAAGTATTCATCGATGTGGTGTGTACTTTATTGTATAACATGACAGGGAGATGCACCTGGCTCCTGTATGTCTGATGCCATTGTTGTGTGAGTGTGCACCCATTTTTTTTTAAGTGTGTGCTTTGGTGTATTTGCGTGCTTGGTTGTGTACTTTACATGCTCAGGTGTCTGTAGGTCTGTATGTGCAGCACAGTTTTCTTCCAGTTCCCAGCAGGTGTGTAAATTGTTTTACAAACAGAGGCATTATGTGGGGCATGGCAGGCGGTCATGTTGACACGGTGGCTCTCCAGATGATCCTCACCCTCGCCTGTGTAGTTTTTGTTTCATAAAGCTCTGTTTGACTCAAACTGTGCTACACCATGGCCGCTGTATAATGGAAGAGAAAGTTAGCACCAGGATCTGCCAACATGTCCCTAAAGATCTGGAGCCTGAGAGGAGCTACAGAGCAGGCAGATGCTTCTCTATGAAAGAAAAACCCATTAATATCCAGCATGTTAACATTCACAAAGCAGAATT